GTGGCGGCGAACCAGACCCCGATCTAGGACGATACCCCAAACAGTGCTTGCACTTACGGGTTGGTTCTTGTGTTACTGAGGAATGAGATGGGCCCAAACGTTGCCACCCGTTGCCGCCTCGTTGACGCTTGAGGGGTCGGCCGAGGATTCGCCACATTGCCGCCCGCTGCCGTCTCGATACCGCTCGGGGATCCGCCGAGGATTGGCCATGTTGCCGCCCGTTGCCGCATCGTTGCCGCCTCGTTGCCGCCCGTTGCCGCCTCGCTGCCGAGTCACCGTGTAGCTTGCACCATATAGTTCGCGCCACATAGCACATAGCTTACACGACATAGCCTGCACCACGTAGCTTGCACGACATAGCTTGCACCACGTAGCTTACATAGCTTGCACCACATAGCTCGCACCCCGAAGGCTACGCATCCACAGTGAAATAACTTACTGTTTGGTGTCCACCCTGGCGAACATGTTTTCGGTCCCGGCATGTTTCCTTGATCTCGGCCTGCGAGGCCCGTTATCGGGAACCGCGGCCATCAAAAACAAACTTGGGTCCAAACACTACCCCACCCCCTAGAGAAGGGATCGGGACCGTTGGGGCCGCGCATTGTAAACATGTCTTCGTCGGATGTCTGGGGATGGGGCCTGTCCAGGGGGGCACCCAGACATCCAGCACATTGAGCGAAAGTCAAGGCGGCGTTTTTTCATCGTTTTCGGCTTGTCTGGGGCCCCCCCGGGGGCCCAGACCGTAAAAAACCAACTCGCGATGAGAAACTGTCCCTGGAGAAATGAGTCAGGACTTCGGGGATCCCGTATTGAACAAGATCACCACATCGAATGTCTGGGCCTCCGAGGAGGGAGAGGCCTCGCTCACGTCCTCTGAGGGGCGCCCTCTGACCGGGCCCCATCCCCAGACATCAGACGGCGTGGCTGCTTCAATGCACGGCCCCAGCGGTCCTCTTCAACACGTTGGATGTGTGGGGACCCTCGTCGCCCTCTCTGGAGGCTGCCCCTCTGTCGCCCCCGACCTCCCCTCGCCCCCTGTTTGGCGCGCCGCCAGCAGGAGCTGGAGACGCTGAGGGCCGGCGGGATCCCCGTCGTCGAGGCCGGCGGGGCCCCGAGATGAAAGGGTCCCAACCGCGCTTCGCTCGGCGTTGGCCGGAGCGCACGGCTTTCTGAGAGGCCTGCTGGAGCCCAGGCGCCCAGATTTTCGACGAGGCGATGCTTCTATCCCGGCACTTGTTCCTAGATTTCGGACGTTAGGCCCTTGATCGGGCCTCTGGGCCCCCGGGCCATCAAAAAAGGATCCGGGACGAAAAATCACCCCTGGGGGCAGGAGTTCGGGCGCCGCGAATTGGAAAAACGTATCAGAGGATGTTTGGTTGAGAGGCTCGCTGAAGACCAGCCAAGTTGCAAGTCTGGGGAGGTTGATTAAAGCATCGGCCCTGTAGTATCTCGTTGGTCGAAGCTCGGCCCAGTAGGAGTCAAGTATTGTCTCAATATGGTTCCGTGTGGCTCCGTGGCGTCTTGAGTTGGTGTACGTAGTGGTATAACATCGCTTCCACGAAGGATTCCCAGGCGTTGCCTCCTAATCCCCCTCAATCAATGATATATCACCATACATCTCCGACGCCTACGCCTTGTGTTCCCCCTCCTCCTCCCTCCCCCTTCTTCAAGGGGCTCTGGAGGCTGCCTGACTGGATTGTAGCCCGCTCCAGGCCCTGGCCCCCTTGTGGAATCCCCCAGAAAAAATACAAGGTTCCGAGAATATCTGGAAGCCGTGGAAGCCATCGGAGCCCGTGGCCCTTACAGCAAGTAATCCCAAGACCTCTTTGGCGGGGCCCAGGAGGCTGACGGATCCGCGACCCCCCAGGGGAGGTCCGAGCCCGCTGGCCACGCTTCGGCTGCTTGGGCGAGGTCGGAGGGGAACGGCGGCGGAGGGGGCTGGGCGGGGGGACTGCGCCACGCAGAAAGACGGCCCGGCGCGGCCGGCGGCCCCTTGCAACGCGGCCGAGCGCCGCCCGGCGAGTTGCCCCCGTCAGAGCAGGGGAGGAGGGGGAGGAGGAGGAGGAGGGAGGAGGAGGAGGAGGGAGGAGGAGGAGGAGGGGGATGAGGAGGAGGGAGGAGGAGGAGGAGGAGGAGGAGGAGGAGGAGGAGGAGGAGGATAAGACAAACACGCGGCGAACAGACGCGGACAAGGAGGAGGGAGTGGGGGTCAGCGCCGAGCAGGGAGGCACGGCGGAGCAGACAGGACAGCGCCGGAGCCTCCCTCGCGGACCCCATTTCTGGAGCCCTTTGGATGCCCAAAGGGGCGCCCCTGAAAAATCCAGTACACGCTCCATCCCCTCGCTTCCACCCTCCCCCCTGCCCCAGATAACATTCCACCCTCCACCCCATCCCGCCCTCCCTTCCCCCATCCTCCCGCGCACCCTCCTTCAGAAGGTCTCCAGACTCCAACTTCAACACCTCCCCAGAGCCCCAAGGTCTTCCGCTCCTCTCCCTCCCCCCTTTCCCTCCCTCCGACCTTCTCCTCCCCATCCACCTCTCCGCACCCCGCGAGATGGCCAGGGCACGCCGGAAGAGGGAGAGGAAGGAGCGAGGAGGAGGCGGAGTGAGGATGAGGGAGGGACGGAGGGAGGGAGAGAGAGGGAGGAGGGAGGAACAGGGGGTAGCAGTAGGATCGCGGGCGACAAAGAGGAGGTTGATGATTAGGGGTGTTATCATGGCCAGGGCCATGAGACCTCCCCTGATTTCTCGCCCCACTCTTCTTGTTTCAACACGTCCCTGGTTTCCCCTTAGGTCGCGCATGCGCCTCTGATCATCATTTGCGAACCCACGCCTCGTGGACGCCCCCCCGAGAGGAGTGAGGAGTAGGAAAGAGGGTAGGCAGGCTCAACAGCAAGCAGTTGTCCCTCGGACCCAATCCACGGCGTTGTCGATGCCGATTCGGCTCCGACGGACCTCGCCTCAGAGGGTGAGAGGGGCGGCATCTCAGAGATCGGGGGGCGGTTGAGAAGCGGATGCTGAGGCGGAGTAGGAGTGCCGCTGGCATTGAGGGCCTGCCACTTCAGTGCCAAGCTGAAGCAGAGTGCTAAATTGGAAAAGCTCTCCCATGATAATGCCGGTCCCTTGTCTGTAGTTGGTGGGCTTGCCGTATGACTTGACAAGTTCGAAGTAAATTCTTTACGCTTCGCGTATCCCCACCAGCCCATCTCACAACAGCAACTCTTGCGAAGCATGCCGACAGTCGTGTTTTTCAGGCGTGTGTCCGCTTGGCCCCGCATATCTCCCCTGTTCCTCCTTCCTCCCGCCTCCTTGTACATCCTCCTTGTGGGGGGAGCGGGAGAAGGACGAGGCGGAGGAGGAGGGAGAGAAAGCGCTCCTCGTGGTTTGAGTCGTTTGGGGTTTCTCGTCCTGGTGTGAGTCGTTCGGGCCCTTCTTCCTGGTGTGAGTCGTTCGGGCTCTTCGTGGTGTGAGTCGTTCGGGCTCTTCGTCCTGGTGTGAGTCGTTCGGGCTCTCGTGGTGTGAGTCGTTCGGGCCTCCTGGTGAGTCGAGTCGTTCGGGCTCTTCGTGGTGTGAGTCGTTCGGGCCCCTCGTCCTGGTGTGAGTCGTTCGGGCTCCTCGTGGCGTGAGGCGTTCGGGCACCTCGTTCCCCTTTTGGGGCGTCTTGGGGGCCTCTTGGCGGCCCCAGGGGCTTCTAGGAGCGTCTTGGGTGCCTTGGGGGAGCCTCTTCGGGCCTCTTGGGAGCCTCTTGGAGGCCGTTTGGGGCGTCTTGGGGGCCTCTTGGCGGCCCCAGGGGCTTCCAGGAGCGTCTTGGGTGCCTCGGGGAAGCCTCTTGGGGCCTCTTGGGGGCCTCTTGGAGGCATCTTGGGGGCCTCTTGGAGGCCTCTTGGGGGCCTCCTGGGGGCCTCTTGGGGCCATCTTGGGGCCTCTTGGTGCCTCCTGGGCCCTTCTGGGGGCCATCTTGGAGGAAATCGATCAAAGAAGAGGGGAGCTTTAATTGGCGCTGCCCCCTCAGAAGGGCAACATGGGGCCAAAACCTTAGTAAAATCAATGATTTTGGCTTGAAAGAAGAGGGGAGCTTTAATGAGCGCTGCCTCCTCAGAAGGGCAAAATGGGGCCAAAACCGTAGTAAAATCAATGATTTTGGCTTCGAAGAAGAGGAGAGGGTTTTTTCTGCCTCCCCCCGTCGGGGCCAGAATCCTCGTGAGCGGTGTCGTTTTTTAGCCCTCCCAGGAGTCGAAAAGAACTCCACTGACCACCCGCGAGGCGCCCTCTCCAGGCCCAGGGGGAGGGGGTAGGAGGAGGGGTAAACCCCTCCCCGAAGGGGAAGAAGGGGGGTTGAGAACAGAGCGGGCTCTCTAAACCACTCACGCCCAAAGGGCTGGTGGGATTATCAAGCCAATGAGAGAGAGAGAGAGAGAGAGCGAGAGATACTCCGCACCCAAAGGGCCATTGACCATGTATTGATAATCCCTTATCCCAGAAGTGCCACAGTCCTGGTTGATCTTGTCTGAGGAAGTTGGCTGAAGCACCTGCTTCGGCAGTTCGACCATCCATGTACACCCTGTGGACGATTGGCGGCCACGATGGGGCAGTCCGTGGCCCTTGTCTTCGCACGGAAGGTCTTCAAGCAACATGATGGCAAGCGCAGCTCAGATTCTGTTTGATAGGGGTCATGCCATACTCAATTACACAAGTTGGGCCTTGACACAAGCACGCTTGCCCCACCATCCCAGAACCAAAGCAACCGAATTTCTAGAGCCCTGAAAAACAATACGTTCAGCACGTAAGGAAACTTAGGCAGACTTAGATGTGTTCGATGCTAGGTCCTCTTCTCTTCCAAGCGTATACATTGTTACCCTTGGCTACTACGTGTAGCTAACTCGGCAGGATGAAGATGGAGGATGGAGAGGAAGGTGGAGTTTTTCTCATCTTCATCCTCCGCATCCTTCCTCAATCCACCCTGCTGCTGCTCCTCCTCATCCTCTTATCATCCTCCTTTGCCAGGCCCGTCCTCCTCTTCCCCCTTATGTATCCTCCGCCCCTTGCGCAGCGACCTGTGCCGAGCATTCTGGCAGCAGTGCGCACTCAGTTCTTGCCACTTTCACTTCCTACATTTGCCGTGATGGCACGTGCGGCGCCGATCATCTTGCTGGGGCTGACCAGGCAGTGCCAGGCCATCTCGCTGCGCGCCGAGCCAGCGGACGCCTGCCTGGACGCTGTGCCAGGGGACAGCTGCCACAATTTCGTGGCGTGGGCCCTCGACAAGGGCGTCGAGCAGCACCCGGAGTGGTTCGCGGGGGGGGGGGGAGTGGCGAAGGGGGATTTGGCCCAGGGTGGGGGATGCTAAGATTTCGGGTTGCGCTCAGACGGCCCAGGCGCTCCGAGTAGTCCGGGGCGGTCTCAGCACCCTGGCGCCGCCTCTGGCCGCGCCCCTGGGGCGCTCCGCGCCCCACTGTTTGGGTGTGGAGACCGCCTAGGGGGCCTGTTGAGGCCCGCCAGGATTAATTTGACGGATCCAGCAGATCTGGCGAATTTGGCGCAGAATCCCAAACTGACGTCCATCCATCCTCAAACGTGCAACCCAACACCGTTTCGGACGGATCCGATTTGGCGGATCCGAAGACTGTGGCGCAGAATCCCAAACCGACGCCTTCGCTCCGGACATCTTCTCGGCACTCAGGATTTGGCGAATCCGGCGCAGAATCCCAAAACGACACTTTCGTTTGGGACGTCCTCAAAAATGCAACTTGGCACCGTTTTGGAAGGATCCGACGGATCCAGAGAATCTGGCGCAGAATCTCAGGCCGACGCCCTCGCTCGGGACGTCATACCGGCCCCTGGGGAGGAGCCAAGAGTGCCACCTGGCTCCGCTTCGGATCCAGCGAGTCTGGCGCTGAATACCAAACCGACGCCCTCGCTCGGGAGATCCTCACAAACGATTCGGAAGGAACTGCAGGATTCGAAGAATTTCACATTGCCGCCCTTGAGGACATCCTCCCCTGGGGAATATATATATATATATATATATATATATATGTGTATATATATATATACATATATATATATATATATATATATACCGGGCGTCCAGGTCCCCGGGCCCAGGGGCAGCCCATTTTTCCACAACTCCCCCACCCCCCCCCGCACCCGACTGTAGTCCCCGGCGCCGGCGAGCCTATTTGAACGCTCCAGGGCGCTCCCTGCGCCTCGGAAGCCCCCCAAGGGGCCCAGAGGCCGCCAAGACAGCCCGAGAGCGCACCAAGCCGCCGAAGATGGCCCCGTGATGGCCCAAGAGGCCCCCGAGAGGCCCCCAAGAGGCCCCAAGAGCGCTCCAAGAGAACCTCCAAGAAGGCCCCAGGAGGCCAAAATTGTTGATTTTCATTATGTTTTTCACTGTTTTTTTGCTGTTCGCGTTTTCGTGCTTCCGACACGCCAAGACTACGCAAAAAGCCTCCAACATCGTCCCAAGAGGGCCCAAGAGGCCCCCAAGATGCCCCCAAGAGGCCCCCAAGCCGGCCCAAGAGAGCCCCCAAACGGCCCGAGAGAGGCCCAAGACGGCCCAAGAGGGCTTCAGGACGACCCCAAGAGGGACCCAAGAGGGGAAGTACGAACCGGCATGTCGAGCTTTCCGCCCCAAGAGGCCCCCGAGAGGCCCCCAAGAGGCCCAAAAGATGCCCCCAAAAGAGAACCTAAGCGCGCGCGAAACGCGCGCGTGGTTCTAGTTATTTACTCACCAGGGACAGGCTGACCCAAGCGACCTTGGACATTGTTTCTAAGGGCAAGAGTATTTCGCGACAGTGTTTCGGAAGGATCCGGCGCTTTGGCGCAGAATCTCAAGGAGGGTTTTCTCTCTGCTACTGGAATGCCCCGCTATTTCTGTCGCCACGCTAATGGCCCCCACATTCCCCACCAATGGCCCGCTAATGCCTCGCGAATGGTCTTCTGATGGCTCCACTAGTGCCCCCGCTGGTGGCCCACTGATGACACTGACCCACGAAAGACCCACTGATGACCTGCTAATGAATTTTGGCGCAGTAATGACCCAGGAATGATCTTCGAACGGTTCGCTTCTGATTTTTCTTCCGCGCTAACGCGATTGCAACTATCATTAGAATTCACGCGGTCATTACTGTGCCATTACCCAGGTCCGAAGGTATTGTGAGATAGGGCACTTCATGAAGAATCTCTTCCCCAAGCATTCCTCGTCATCGTCATCGTCAACGTCATCGACTGCGTCACACCAAAAAGAAACACATTTCTAGTATCTATATACAGAAACTCCCAATCAACCGCAGAGCGGCCGGCTAGTATCTAGTACCTTGGGGGGCTGTCTGTGCGCAACCCGAAATCTTCCAGATTGGCCCGGGGTGGGGAATTCCGACCCCGAGTTGCCCATTCATCGCCGATCGGGGCTTCCCTCAGGTTCCCGTCGTTCAAGCGCTCGGACTCGGACGTTCGGAATTTCATGCAGGTCCAGGACATCCTTCACAGTCGCAACAAGGCAGGATGCGGCAAACCCTGTGACATGGAGTATTTGGACGTGATCGGCAAGCTAGAGAAGGAGCTTAGCGCGATGGACACCAACTCCCCGGCGTTCGAGACACGTCTCGCAGAGAAGCGCGAGAAGATAAACAAATTGAAGGCAGCTCTCGAGTTGAAGGCAAAGGGCAAGGCCCAGCAGCTCCAAGACCAGCAGAAACGTCAAAAGCTGGAGGCAGAGCTCAAGGCACTGGAGTCCATGGAGGATTCCCCCGCCTCGCAGACCCTGATCGCAGAAAAGCGCGCACAGATCCAGAACTTGCAGACAGCCGACAAGTCGGAGTCGGAGCTCAAGGCGCTGGAGATCCAGCGCCTGCAAGACCCGGCGGCTGCCGCAATGGACGCAAAGGATGTTGGCCATGAAGCGAAGCGGGCCCTGAGGGAAACGGCTCCTGCGGGCCCTCCACGGGCCCTAGGATGGTGAGAAATCGACTCAGGACCAGAAGCGGGTCTTGGAGCAGGGCCCCGGGGTCCAGAACCCGCTTCCTTCGGGACGCTCGCGTCATCGTGCCAAAGGATGCAGCCGCGGGCCGCAAGTCGTGGTGGCAGCGGTGGCGCGAGGCAAAGGGGACCGCGCCGACGGCGGCCGCCCCAGAGGCGAAGCCCGCCCCAGCGGCAGCCGTGGAGGAGGCGAAGCCGGAGGCCGCGGCGCCTTCTCCGCCCGCGGCAGAGGAGGAGGCGAAGCCTGAGGCGGCGACGCCCTCGCCCGCGGCAGAGGAGCGGGAGATCCTCCGGTATGACCCCTTCCCAGGGGGTATTTTGGATCTCAGGTCTGTCGTTCCCCATATCCAAAGCATGGCGTTTGTGTTATTCTAGACGCTTTGCGTAACCCCACTGGCCCATCCCGAAACGATGCCTAGGCGAGTTGCCCTGATCAATGGTAGATGGAGGAGCACGCAGTGAAAGAAAGGGCTGGGGAAGCCGTCGTACACCAAGAGGGGGAGGATGGAGGAGGTATCGGAGGAGGAGGAGGGGGAGCGGGGGGAGGAGGGGGAGGGGGAGGGGGAGGAGGAGGAGGGAGGAGGGGGGGAGAGGAGGCGGATGAGGAAGAGGAGGAAGAGGAAGAGGAGGAAGAAGAGGAGGAGGAGGAGGGCGGAGTCTCTTCGGATGTACCTTCCTTGAGAGTTCTTGGCGACCTATATGGGCGTATTTTGGGCCTCTTGGCAGTCCCAGGGCCTCTTGGAGCGAAACCTCCCTGGGCGAAACCCTTACGAGGCGAAAAACAAAGCTTGGCGAAACCAGCCTGGGCGAAATTGATCCGGCTTGCTGGGGCGATGCCGCTCGGGAGACTTTGCTCCGACGGGTCTTTCTGCGAATCTTGCTGGCTCCGCCTGCTCTGCTGGCTTTCGCGCCTCTCCTGTGTACTGTCCCTCCTGCCTCTGTTTTCCAGCTTTTTTCTCCTCCTGTCCCCTGCCTTTTTCCTCTCCCCGTGCGCGCGCGCGGGCGAGCGGCGGGCGAGCGAGCGGGCGGGCGGGCGGTCGACAGGGCGTGCGGGCGCGCGGGCGGGCGGGCGCGCCGGCGGGCGGGTGAGCGGGCGACTGGGCGAGAGGGCGGGCGGGCGTGTGCGCGGGCGGGCGGGCGGGCGCGCGCGCGGGCGGGCGCGCGTGCGCTCGAGGTGGCGTGCGGGCGTGCGGGGGGGGGGTTGGTTGTGGTGGTCGACGTCGTCGTGTTCGTCGTCCTCGTCGTCCTTCTCGTCTTCGTTCTCCTCGTCGTTTTCGTCGCCGTCGTCGTCGTGGTCGTCGGCGTCGTCGACAAACCATGTCTTGATGGTCGCCCTTGTTGTGGAGCGCAGGTGATTATTATTTGTTTCCCCCCCATCGCGATAACACGCGACGAGTAGAACAGTTGTTTCCGGCTCCCGGCGGTCTCCACGTGGCGAGTAAAGTAGAATTGCGATGGCGGTTCGTGCCCCAGGCGGTACCACTTCACGGGTAGAGCAAAAAACACGACTTGGTGTCTCCCTTAGCTGCCACCTGGCAACAGTAATTTTGTACGTGCTCCGCCGCATGGTGCTGCCACGCCGCGAGTAGAGTAGAATATGATGTGTTCGCCCTTGAGGTTCTGCCACATGACGTGTAGAACAGGATCAAATTAGTTGCGCCCCGATGCGTAGCCACGTGACGAGGTGAGTAACATAGGACCATTCATTTCCCGAACGATTCCTATGAGTTTCTATAGAGTGCTTGGCTAAGGACCCCCAGATATTCCGAAGCTTTCTGGCGGGCCGCCTGGCTCTTGCGTAGCCGTGTGATCCGTCGAGCAAAATACTACGTGTTTCTGCCCCCCCCCCCCCCTGCGCTGCCACGTGACGAGTAAATCGAAGAGTAGAGTTCCGCCACCAGTGCTGCCACGCGGATGGATAATGGGATAGCAGCGGTTTTGCCTCACCAGGCGTTGCAGTCTGACGAGTAGGGTAAACTAGTCTGTAGTAGTGCAGGATGAGGGCGATGGGAGGGTAGGAGGGAGGAGGAAAGGGGAGAGTGCGGAGCAGGAGGCGCAGGACTGGCGAGGAGGACGAATACAGAAGCGCACGAGGGAGGGGGAGGACGGAAAACAGCGCTGGCAGCAACGACGAGGAGTTCAGCTCGAGCGGAAACGTTTTGGGCGAAAGCGTTTCGGCCAAACCGCTCGTAAAAAACGGTGGGGGTCAAAGCGCCCGAGCGAAATTTCCAGACGAAATTGGACGGGCGGAGCCGATCGGCAGAGAATGCCCGTTCGAAAACGGCCGCGGGAAAACGACTGAACGAAACCGACTGGTGGGCAAACCGACGTCCCAGGTGAAAACGACCCCGACGAAGACGGCTGGGCGAAAGCGACCGCTATGCCATTGCGTTGGTGCGATATGCGCGTTGCAATTTCGAATGTGACGAATGCACATACATATATATATATATATATATACTTACCTACCCACCTACCTACCTACATACATACATACATACCTATACGACACCCTGCGGGTGATAAGGAGGTTGTGGGGGTGGGTGGGAGGGGGGTGGCTCATGATGATGATGGTGATGGTAGTGGTGACGATGAGGAGATCTTCATACATGCAAATTCACACAAGCAGGGGAACTGGAAGGACGGCATGGCCAATACATGACGGCATTTATTTGTCCTCTGACGACTAAGTGGCCCAAGAACGGCACCCCCCGGCCCATGATACCAAATGAAAGTGGCCGCCATCCTCAGAGTAGGGAGGAGAGGAGGAGGGAGGCGATGAATGGCAATCGAGCCTTCGTCCCAGCAAAAAGGCGACGAGCTGACCGACTTGCGTCTCATGGCCTGAGCCCTTGAGCCGAACTAAAGATCTAAATAATTAGTTCAGAGTTAGAAAATTAAGGATACGAGGAGGAGAAGCAAGAGAAGGTGTCCCATGATGAGCAACCATGATGGTGTCCCATGATGAGCAGCCATGATGAGCAACCATGATGAGCAACCTGCGGGACAATGATGAGCGACCGTGATGAACAACCATGATGGGCAACCATCATGGGCAACCGGCGGGACAATGATGATTTCACGATCGATATCACTATCGATCTCATTATCGATCTCACTATCGATCCAACATTCGGTCTCACAATCGATGTCACTATCGATCTCACCATCGATCTCACCATCGATCTCACTATCGATCCCACTATCAGACTATGGATCCCACAATATATCTCACTATCGGTCTCACTATCGATCTCACATCCGGTTTCACTATCGATCTCAATCGATACCACAATCGATGTCACAATCGATCTCACATTCGGTCTCACTACCGATCTCACTACCGATGCCATTATCGATCTCACTATCGATCTCACGATCGGTCTCACAGTCGATCTCACTATCGATCTCACGACAGGACACCGACGGGCATCCGACGGGACACTGCGGGCTCGATCTTTCAATCGATCTCATAATCGGTCTCAGTATCGGTCTCGCAATCGATCTAACTTTCGATCTCACAATCGATCTCACAACCGATCTCACTATCGATCCCACTACTATCGATCTCACACTCGATCTCACAATCGATCTCATTTTCGGTCCCACTATCAATTGCACGATCGATATCACTATCGATTTCATCACCGATCTCACTATCGATCCAACATTCGGTTTCCCGTGCGGTCTCACTATCGATCTCACTATCGGTGTCACTATTAATTGCACGATCGATCCTACTATCGATCTCAGTATCGATCTCATGACAGGACAACGGCGGGCGACCGACGGGACAATGCGGGATACCACTTGACACGCGCCGGCGGGGGAAACATTTATGTTGGCGAACCACTAGCGACAGACAGGACAACGGCGGGCAACCGACGGGACAATGCGGGCCACCGCTTGACACGCGCCGGCGGGGGAAACATTTATGTTGGCGAACCACTAGCGACAGACAGGACAACGGTGGGCAACCGACGGGAAAATGCGGGCCACCGCTTGACACGCGCCGGCGGGGGAAACATTCATGTTGGCGAACCACTAGCGACAACAAAATGAATTCCTCTCGCCCGCGCGCGCAGCTTCGCCTCGCCCGCACGCACGACGCGAACACGAAACCGAAACCGATTTCCCGGTGGGGGGCTCTCCGTTCCTTTTCGATATCACCCCCCCCAACCTCCGACGTACATACATACATAGATAGATACATGCATGCATCCATACATACATACATACATAAATATATCAATACGACATAAATACATACATACACGCATACATACATCTGTATATCGGAGTAGGCCCCGGGGCGGGGGTGGGGTGGCGCCACCGGTTGGCATGGCCGCCACGGGCGTCCTGGGGGTTCCACGAACCCGCCCAAGACGGCCCAAGAGGCCCCAAAGACAACCGAAGAGGCCCACAAGACAACCTCAGCGAGGCCCCTGAGGGCCCCAAGACGCCCAAGACCACCCCAAGAGGGCCCGTGATGGCTTGAAGATGGCGGAAGAGGGCCCCAAGAGGGCCTTCAAGAGGTACAAATCGGCCCATTCCTTTTGTAAAACAGATTTTTTCAGCATACTCGCTTGCTTCATCTTCACAGTGCCCCAGGCGCCCCCCAAGAGCCCCAAGACAGCCCAAAAGAGACCCAAGAGGGCCCAAGACGGCCCAAAAGGGTCGTCGTGTGGGGCTCACGGAACCCCCAAGACGGCCCAAAAGGCCCCAAAGCGGGCCCAGGAGGCCCCAAAGACGGCCTCAGGGAGGCCCAACAGGGCCTCGTTCGAAATCATGTTCCCGGACGCCTCTCCGGGAAAATGGCTCAGGGTTCCCAGGGCGCCCAAGAGGGCCCCAGGACGGCCCCAAAAGGGCCTTAAAGGGACATTCGAAAAGGCCCAGAGGGCCACAGTTCGTTGATTTGCGCCAGATGTTGTTGGATTTCTCCCGTGCGGGGGAGACGGAGGGAAGAGGAGAAGGAGGAGGAGGCGGGGAGGAGGAGTGGAGGGGAGGATGGGTGGAGAGGAGGAGGAGGTTCGAGGGCGATCGACGATCGGCGACGACGGTCGGCGACGGTGATTGACGACGACGACGACGACGACGACAGTCGACGACCGACGACGACGATCGACGACGATGACAGCAGTCGACGCCGCCGGTCGACGGTCGACGATCGACGGCGACGACGACGGCCACGCCGACAGCGGCGACGCTGTCCGCGTGCGCAGAGCCACCCTGGGCTCAGTCTTTTCCGCATCGTTCGAAATCCTGTCCCCGGAAGC